TGTGTGTTCCATTTGTGGGTTTCGTCCCACCATGTTTCCGTTATGGCAACAATATCATATCTGCCCTCATTAACCTGAATTTCTAGTTCGCCCTGTTTGCTGTTCATACTCTGTGCATTTGTGTATAGACATTTGAGTCCTTTATGACCGACCCTGTGCTTACTTCCTACATAACCTTTGTGGTGCCTGAGTTCCCCTATTACACAAATGTTGATAAAGCATCAGTTAAGATGACAAAAAATCAGTACAATACAACAATATTAGAACAATTGAAAACTATGGAATTATGACTAACCACAAGGGAACACGATATAATTTTCAATCGGTGTTGACTCTTCATCTAAAAAGCATACCTGCAATAATACAGTAAAATGCAACTGAATTGCTGTTGAAATAAAAAAAATTGTTCCATCTGTTTTGTAAATTTATGATTGTGCTACAGTGATCTATTTAAAACAATATTCAATTTTATTATGAAATAAAACTATAAGTTTCAGTGGAGAGTGGTCTGAAATAGATACTTGCATTGACTTTGGTATCTGGATATATTCGAAATAAAACAATTTTCATCTATGAGAAAATATCAAATATTCTTGCCAATGTGTATATGTCATATAATTATCAAATATCAACATACATAAAAGACTTAAATAATCCGATGAAGTACATTTATTAATACTGAGAATTAGTCACCTAATCTAATAGTAAGTAGTAAAAATCTACTTGAATGATTTGGTATTTTATACTTCACAAACAACTTACATAATATACTATTCCTAATGACTTAGGGATAATGTTAGACTCTTGTGGGTGGAGAAACATACATTTAGATTATATCACCCAAGTGGCATAGACAAGTGCTGTGGCTGCTTTAACCCATTTTTGCTCCAAAGGAGGACATTATATCCCTGTCACATTGAAGCTATTTGAGGCAGAAATAATAGTACAGTTATTGCATATTGTGCAAATGACCCTTATTCCAGCTGGGCTTCAGCACAGAAAGTACAATCAACAATTTTGAGAGCAATTTTGGAAATGCCTGAATGTGATTCTAATGTAGCTTTAAGACTGGATTTGAGCATCACAAGGGCAGAGGCTCAGATCTGGGTTACTATTTTTAGCTACTTGTTAATTTGATCTTTAACCCAGCCTGTCTGGTTACTCTGATAACAAGTGATAGCTTTTGTTCTTCACAGCAGGCATGCATTAGAGATAAGTTAAAGTAATTTTCTCTTTTCCTTTAGTGACTCAGCTGTTTTATATTTTGATTTTACTGGTTTTTGCTATTTTGATGACTGTAAATAAAATTACCATGTTACAAGGACATCTGTCATAAAAAGTAATTATTATGAATAATAAAAATTGATAAAAAGGTAGCTGCTACATAGGTTGTATCCATCCCAAGTAAAAAAAAACACATAGAGTATATAAATATTTCAGGTCAGTGGAAGAGAGAACACATATTTTTATCTATGATCACTGATCAGCATGAAAATATAATGAAAACAAAACAAGAAAAAGGAAAAGGAAACATTAATACAAACATTGTCATTGTCATATTGTATACATTTAAGCTCACAAAACATTCTGAAGACTACATATAAATTTTAATAAGGATATAGAGTAAACGTAAAAAGAAGAAATGAGAACTCAAAACTTTATGTTATGAATCTCTCCAAAATTAACCCTTGGATATGTACTTTGCCCTAGGCTGGTGAACATTCACTATACCCTGGTAATAATAGGTGAGCCATCTGTTTCTCTGGACTTTTGTTTTGACATATTTAGCATTGTAGCTAATTCAACCCAAGAGAAACCATATTGAGGATTTTCAGGTACTTCAGTGTATCAGATTTTTTAACATTGCCAAATACCCAATTTAAATTGCCAGTTTGCTCCATGAATAAGTTAGATACTTTATTAACCAACCCTAATGTCTATCATAACCCTGTGTATTCCTGCTCCTTTCCAAAATCTTGTCAGTTCTTATCTTAGACCGAAAAACCTATGTCTCTTATGACAAAAATCATATTCTATTCTGTAGATCTACTTCAATCTCAGGGAAAATTCCCTTTCTTTTATTTTATCCTGCTCAGAGTGTTTATAGGGATGGAAAAGTTTGTGATGAAAGACTCAGCCTCCTTTCTAAGATTTAAGCTGGATACCAATGCCATTGTTTCTTTTTCTAGATATGTCTCTGCCTTGACTACCCCAGCACGCCTGTCCCCTGTTGACTTCCACTGCTCAGCTTCAGCCCACGTGCCCACCTTTGAAATCACCTCTCCTAATTCTGCTCATGCGGTCTCACTTCCCCCGGCTGCATCCATTAATTTCCAAGTGGAGGATCAACAGCCATTGCTGAGAAGGTACCAAGCCCCCTGTCAAGAGGCACAGAGGTATGATACTTACTACCAAAGAAGGAACTATCTGAATGAGAGCACAGGGAGCTTGCCCTCCAGTCCCTTCCGCATCACAGAGGATGATGAATATGAGACAACCCATGAGTACATCACTGCACTAGAACAGCCAAAGAGAACAGGCAGCAGCAACAGGCGGTGGAGGAGATCTAAACTGAACGGCCACCTGTCTCACAGAGGCAGAATGCTTAGAGATTCCTTTTCAGTCAGCAGCGCCTCATACAGTGAGTCTGATGAGGAGCTGATAGCTGAGAGCACCCCTTTCTTAAGCAATCGGAACATGGAGGCAACGGACACAGGTTTGAATTGCTCAGCTGACAACAACAGAACTTTCTCTTCTTTCAGCAGATTCAACACACAGGGTGAAAGCCAACAAACACACAGCAGATCCAGCCAAGGTTTTACACCACCTTAGGTGTTACACACTCTTCCTCATGTCCACTTCCATGAATACATCAGTACCGAGGAAGATGATGTGACAGAAAAGACAAATTTTTATTTTATATAAAAATGCAAAAATATAACAAATGAAATGTTTTATTTTCATTTTAGCAATGATGTCTTATAAGAGCTAATGGCAAAGACCTTTTTGTAAGGAATCTATTTATATGTAACATCTTGATTTACAGCTTCTCAGAAAAACAGAAACTAACAAAAACATTTTAAAAGATGGGCCAATTTTTGACTACAAATCATTCAAAAATATTGTGGTGCCTTTTTGCTGTATGTGAATGCCAGAGTCCACACTGAATATTATGTTTAAGCATTCTTGAAACACAGGCTTTATGTTCAGAACAATTTATTATAAAATATTCCAGTTAGCATTTTTCCATTTGAACAGCACCCTTTTAAATTTCTTGATACCTGGAGATTAATGATCTAGTGTTGCTAAAGTAATGTGCTCTCTGTCCATTTCCCATTTCCTTTCCCTCTTGCGCAGATGCGCATAAATGTATGTTTCAATGTTTTCATAAATATTTTTCCCTATCGAGGAAAATACTACATACTGGTAAGTAAAATTGGTTTCTCTGATAAGATAAACCATAAACAAAAATGGGGGTGAAGAAGAAAGGAAACAGAATTGCATAATATCAATAGCCCTTCCAATGTATTTCTGATCCTCAAGAGATCTGTGATCAAGAACCCCTCCCCCCAAACAAAACATTGCAAATTATTAAATCATACTAGTTCGAGTAATGCTGCTCCTAAAATCTGTTTTGACACCATTTCTGGAGATAAACTTCAGCTGTTTAGTAATGATATAAGCCACTGCTGTGCATGCACAGAACAAAACTATCCTCCATTTTCTGACCCCAGTTTGATCATCAAAGAAATATGATCCCCCATCATGGAACATACAAGGCATGCAAAGTGCTGTTGAGAAAGGGTTTCAAAAGCCTCCAGTGATCCAGATGTCTCTGGATTAATGCCATCCCCTTCTTTCCCTCCTTCCTTGTTCCTTCTCCTGAGATAGTGCCAGCAGCATGCTAACCTTGCCTCAGTCTTCTTCCTATGGAAAGAAACATCAAAGAAAATGCTGTTGTGTGCTCCATTTTGTAAAGATGGTTGTAAATGTAACATTTGAGTATTTCACAAGAACTTTCCATTTAAAAATAAAGCCACCAGGTATTCTGGTTGATGAACTAAAGAGCTTTCTGGGTGTGGGTGGCAAGAAAACGTCCCTGAGACAGAAAATGGCTCTTTCTTTTCAGTTTCTCCTGGAGCCTCCTTTTGACATTATGGCCTGCCTTTTTCTTTTTCTGTTTTCACTTTGCATGTCCTTTGCATTTCAAATACTATAAATTGGATGCATGGAGAACCTAGAACTGAAAAGACAAAATACAGTTGCCAGTGTATTCGTTTACTTTTTAGCAATAAAGTACTTTAAATCCTTTGTTCCTAATGCCTAACAAGGTCCAGTAGAAAAGCTGCTACTTTGTCATAAAAAAGATTGTAAAATTTTGCTCTGGATTGTCTGGATGTTAGAACTCTTGACTGTTTAACACTTGAATTTTTTTAATACTATAAATAAAAGTAAGAAATGGCTACAATGATTATAAAATCAATTTTACATTTGGTGGTGACAGAGGAGATAGAATGGGGGGGGGGTGTCATCTCAAATTATTCACGTTACTGGGAATCTCACTTTGGAAGCCTGGTTTTCTAGGCTAAAATGATCATCTGATTAACCCAATTGAGTCCAGACCCATCAATACATATTTAAGTATAGATAATTCTATGCCCTCCAGATGTTTCAGATCACAAGTCCATGAATTTCCAACCAGCATGTTTAATATTTGGAGAATTTCAGTCCAAAACACCTGGAAAACTCCAGGTGTCTACCTTTGAATAAGTGATGTTGAAATACGTAATGTTAGAACATTTTGTCCCACATGAGCATAAATTTGCACTTTCATAAATGTTGCAATCCTATGCAAATTTACTTGTGAGTAAACTCTGCTTGATGGATGGGTTGGCTTCTAAATAAACATGCATATGATTGGGTTGTTTATTTAAATGTTAAGTGTTTTTATTCAATTTCATGAGATTCCTTTAAGTGTTCTTCATTTAGTATTTCACTATCCCAAATAATCTGCAAAACGTGATACATTTTGCATTAGTTGGAAAAAATGAAAACTTCTGGATCCAATACAGTGAATCTCACAATTTTTCCCATTCTTTGTTTACATCGACAATCTATTGAATGAGACCCTGATCCATAAGAGAATGTGCCTTATACTGTATAAACATATACTGTAAACATAAAGATAGAATAGAATAACAGAGTTGGAAGGGAACTTGTAGGTCGTCTAGTCCAACCCCCTGCCCAAACAGGAGTCCCTACACCATTTCTGACAGATGGCAGTCCAGTCTCTTCTTGAAAGCCTCCAGTGATGAAGCATCAACAACATCTGAAGGTAGTCTGTTCCATTGGTTGATTGTTCTTACTGTCAGGAAATTTCTCCTTATTTCCAGGTTGAATCTCTCCTTGATCAGTTTCCATCCGTTATTGCTTGTCTGGCCTTCAGGTGCTTTGGAAAATAGGTTGACCCCCTCCTCTCTGTGACAGCCCCTCAAGTATCGGAACACTGCTATCATGTCTGCCCTGTCTAGTTATCTTTTGAAAAGCACCTTTGGGATAACCATGACTTGGATGATTGAGAATCTCCATAGACATGTGATTGTGAGTGAATAGAAAATAGTAAGTAATAAAAAGCTTTAAGAATCACATTATATAAAGGAATAAAAGACAAAATATTGCTTGAGGTGTTCTGCTGCAACATAAATTTTCCTTTATAGCACACATATAAGCCAGAGTTTCAGCATAGAGACAGACTTGCCTTGTTCTCCCATTCACCCATTTACTCCTTTATTCCTTGTTAATCATTCCCTTCATTACTTACACATACATGTAAGAATATTCTTATTTCATTTCATGCAGTAGCTATGTAGCATACACAGTACAGAGGTGTGCTATATAATAATTCCTTTTTAAAGATAAAAGAAAGCAAGGGCAGGGAATAGAGAGAACTTCAGGCTCCCCACTGTCTGGAAGAAAACTTCATACACTTCTAGAATTCTGTTGTCTGCAGGGCAATCTTTTCCAGAGCACTGCTAATTGTTGTAGCCACCTATAGAATAGTTAAATGGTGCAGGGGTTTCTGTCTGGCTAACTGGCTATTTTTTCCCCTTTCCAAAATGTTGAAATATCTAAAATAAAATAAATGACAAAAAAACCTCAAGCCTAATTAAAAAATATACATTGTGCCTTCCTTTTTAGAAAAAAATGGATAACCTCATCAAACAGAATTCTTTATTAACACAATTTCAGTCTGTCATGAAATGAATGTGAAGCACCATGATTAAGCACACACAGACCGTGTGCTTGAAACTTGCATTAATCTTCATTTATAAAGACAACAGGAACTATTTTTCACTTTTTAAAATATTATGTTTTGTCAATGGCACTTGGTTTTTAAGATCATGTTTTCTGACAGTTGCCATTTCATTTTTGCATGCTTCTCTCGAACAAAAGAACACAATTCGTAAGAGCATTGGAAGAGGCCCCAAAGCTCCTTCAAGGAGACATGAAGTAGTATTGAGGGAGAGTTTAATTATCCTGACATATGTTGAGAGACAAATTCTTCCAAGCATGGTTCTTCATGATTTAGGTTGCTGACAACTTTCTCCTTGTGAAGATGGAGGATGGCCCAAGAGAATGAACTAATTCTGGCTTCAACCAATAGAGAAGATTTAGCTGAGAAAATGAAATAGCAGGAATATTGCAGAGAAAGTGACTGTGGGATTTTTGATTTTAAGAGGAATAGCACATGATTATACAGTGCATTCAGAAACTATTCAGACCCACTTCACTTTTGTCAATTTTGTTATTCTGCAGCCTGATTCTACAGTTGTTGACATTTATTTTTTCTCATTAATCTACATTCAGTGCCCCATAATGACAAAGTGAAAACAGAATTTTAGAAATGTCTGTAAATTTATTAAAAAGAACAAACTGAAATATCATATTGGCATAAATATTCAGACCCTTTGCAGCAACACACGACATTTAGCTCAGGTGCCCCCCATTTCTCTTTAGTTGCTGACATGTTTCTATGCCTTGACTGGAGTCCACCTGTGGTAAATTAAATTGATTGGACATAATTTGGAAAAGCACACACCTTTCTATAGAAGGCTTCACAGCTGACAATGCATACTATAGCAGAGCAAAAGCCACGAGGTCAAAGGAACTGCCTGCAGAGCTCAAAGACAGGATTATTGCAAGGCACAGAGTTGGGGAAGGCTACAATAAAATTTCTGCTGCACTGAAGGTTCCTAAGAGCACAGTGGCCTCCATAATTCTCAAATGGAAGACATTTGGCACAACCAGGACTCTTCCAAGAGCTGGTTGCCCTGTCAAACTGAGCAATTGGGGGAGAAGGGCCTTAGTAAGAGAAGTGACCAAGAACCTGATGGACACTCTGACTGAGCTCCAGAGATCCTGTGTGGAGATGGGACAGAGTTCCAGAAGTACAACCATCACTGCAGTCTTCCACCGATCTGGGGTTTATGGTAGAATGGCTAGACGGAAGCCTCTCCTCAGTGCAAAATACATGAAAGTCCACTTGGAGCTTGCAAAAAAGCACCTGAAGGACTCTCAGACTGTGAAAAACAAGACTCTCTGGTCTGATGAAACCAAGAGTGAACTGTTTGGCCTCAATTCTAAATGTTATGTCTGGAAAAAATCAGGCACCACTAATCACCTGCCCAATACCATCCCAACCGTGAAACATGGTGGTTGCAACATCATGCTGTGGGAGTGTTTTTCAGCAGCAGGGACTGGAAGACTGGGTAGGGTTGAGGGAAAGCTGAATGAGCAGAGAGGATTTGCAAGGAAGAATGGCAGAAAATCCTCCAATCAGGTGTGCAAAGCTTGTTACGTCATAACCAAAAATACTCAAGGCTGT